GCCTCACGCTGCCAGTCTCGTCGTCGAATGCGACCGGTGTCTTCTCTCGCGGCACGAAACACTCAGGCACGAGATGACGCCTCACCCAGCCCTTAATCCCCTGGTGCGCAGCGTCAATGGCGGCATACTCGAGCCGCCTCGTCTGGTCGCTCGTCCAGTAGTGTGTCGGCTGCGGTGGCGGCGAGGGTATCGACCTCACGATCTCGCGCTCTTCCTGGTCCTGCTGCTGTGGCGGCGAGGGCGGGGTCAGGTCGGTGGGGTGCGCCGGGAAATGGAAGAAGCCAGAAGGGTGATTCGGCTGAGAGCGCGCGTTGTGCAAGGCCTGGACCTGGGCCATCTGCGGCCGCGCAGGGTAGGGCGATGACTTGGGCGAGCGGCGGATGACGGGCCGGCCGGGGCGGGAGCAGGGTCGGGAGCGGGGCGTGTGGGGACCCGATCCGGAGGAGGATGCGACGGATGTCCGGCGGGGCTGGTTGGAAAAGGATGTGCGCGGAGGAATCGATTCGTAGCCCGAATCTTGTCGCTTCATCTCGGTAGAGAAGGGGTGAGGACGTTGGTTCTCTTGTTGTGGGGTCGTCGGGTGGACGGTCGTTGACTTGTTGGTGGTCCTAGGTGGTGACGCTGGCGGGAATAGCTCGACATCGTGGAAAGAGTGGTAGGTCGTGTCGGAGGCGGCAACGGAGGATCGTGAACCGGCAGCTCCCATGTGGGAGAGGCGAGAGATGCGGGGATCCATGGTCTTGGGGTCGTCTACGACACAGTCATGGAAATCCCTTTACTCGCAGAGGGCGTGATGATGCCAATGCGTGCAGATATGGCGATAGGTGGGGTCTGTGATGCAGCGCCCCTCATCAGTCCGTGAACGGCGTTGTTGACAGCGAGGAAGAGGCAGGTGAAGGTCTCGCTGTGGAAGTCGCAGAGCCGTCGAAGGAAGTCGAGGTCCAAGTTGAAATGACGAGTGCGTGCAGGTGCAAGCGGTCAAATACGTGGTGCGGTCTGAAATGACTTAAAACAAACGAAAGAGGCGGAAATGAAGGCCTCGCCAGCGAAGGTGAGGAGAAGTTGCGGTCAACGGCGGTCGTTCCAGCGACGAGACGTGCCAGGGGCCCAGGCGAGAGTGGGATGTGATGCCCTGGATGGGTCTCGTGGGTTTTCCCTTGTCTCAACTGGAAAGCCGTGCAGCAAGTCGTCGATGGAGAGGATCAATAACAAGAGCCAGACGGGTGGTCTAGCCAGGGGAGCGTGGGCACGTCTCGAGGTGACGATTGGACGGCGACGAGCGGTGAGGGCGCGCAACAGGCTCGGCTCCAGGGTGGGTTATGCAGGCGGCTGCAGGTGCTGGGATCGGTGGATGCAGCCGAGAGTCAAGACGAACGCGTGTTGTTGTTTTGGGCGGTGGTGCAGGTTCTGGCTGTTCTTTCGTTGCGTGGGTTGGGGTTTTGGGATTTCCTGGTGCTGGTGTCGCAGTGCCGTCAGAGATGCAGGACGAGGATATTCCGGACGGCTTTGTGCGTGGCGTCTGCAAGGGCGGTGTTGTGCGATAAACGCTGGGTGAGGCCGCTCGAGGCGCTGGAGCAGATAGCACTCTGAGGTGGTAGTGGTGCTATGGGTATTGCCGTTCAACGGTTGAACGGCCTGTGCCGAGGTGCCCAGGGATGGGTCTCAGTGAGTGCTGTGCTGAGAAGTGACAGCCGCTGATAGTGCGTAGATCAGACGAGGGCGAGACAAAGAGCTCAAGAGTTGTGTCATCCAACGTCGGAGGAAGCAGCAGAATGGCGGTGATTTTCTTATGTATGATTGTGGTGATTTAGTTTTTTTCCACGCTTCGAGTGAGTCGAGTCACAACGCGCAGCAGAGCAAAAGCGGGACAGGACTGATTCGTGCCGTGGGCGAGCGAGTGAGGGGATCGTGGATCGCAAGGCACGCGCCCTAGGCTAGGCGTCGGTGGTGGCAGGGGGCCCGGGTTTTGGTGGACACTGGTGATACTGTTCGATTCGCCGAGAGGAGGCCAGAGGAACGCGGACTGCCGCTTGTGTGCCGCCAGCGGGGTTCTACGGCGGGGTGCCGGGGGGCAGTGGCAGGGCGTTGACGGGGCGCTGGCGGGGGTGTGGTTTGTTTGTTGGGCGGGTTGGGCAGGTTGAAGAGGCGGTCTGGGCCTCTGATGTGGTTCTGGTAGAGGTGAGTGTTATGGCGAGGTCAAGTCATGGCGAGTTCAAGTCATGTCGCGAGTATGAAGGCGAGGCGAGGGCGAAGAGTCGAGTATGAATACTGAGTCGTCAGGCCGGGTCGGCGTGACAGCCTCACATGTGAACGCTGATCTCGCCCGAACCCTATCGAGGCAGAGGCCTTCGAGACGACCAGTCTCGTCACACAGAGATGCCGCGGCTTGCGACGGCAATGATGTGATTCGGTGGCGGTCGTGTGGGTGTGGTGTCTCTGGTTGTGGGCAGGTGACGCGCCCTGGATTCAGTGCTGTGCAAAACGTGTGCCTCTGCCCGCCTGTCTGTCTGCTCTCTTCCTCTTCTGGCCAGGCCACAACGGTGTGTTTGCAGCGTTGGCCGTCCGATGTCGGGTGGGCAGCGCGTGCTGTGCGGGTGAGGGCGTCCTGGCTAGGGCGAGCGGGACGAGACAAGGTTGGGTCGCGGCTTGGCTCCCGTCCCGTTCGAGCTGGTGCGGCTGCACGATGATGGAGTTGTGCAGGACTATTGGGGTGGATGCCAGATGATGGCTTGGTGGTGTTGGTTGCTCAGCTGTCGAAGATGACCCAGGGAGGTGCCTCAACGGCTGGGATGGAGAGGTCGTCGACGGATGAACGAGGGCTGCATGATGCCGAGGGATGGCGAAGCAGAGAATCGTGTGCCGCTGGACATGTGCTATTTTGGAGTGGTCTTGGTGTTTGGCATGAGCTTCAGGCTGCCAAGCAGGAGAGGCGCCTGCGAGTGAAGTATCTGCCACGGGTACAGTATCTCCAGTGAGAACGAAGTACCTGCCACAGGTACCTCCAGTGAGAGGCCAGGAAGCGACGACGCTGAAACGACCCACTAGGCGTCACGCTGGCCGCGGGCAGGTACACCTGCGTCGACTACACCTGCCTTGAGTACACCTGCCTTGAGTACACCTGCGTTGACTACACCTGCCTTGAGTACACCTGCCTTGAGTACACCTGCCTTGAGTACACCTGCCTTGCGCAAGTACACCAAAGGTAGGTACTCTCTCCCCGACGATGCCACCATGAGCTGCATTTCCTTGTCTGCATTTCCTCTCTCTCCAAGCACCCAAGGCATTGACGCCTTACACCAGACATCCAATCCATCATCAGTGGCAGGACGAACATTCACATGCATCTCAGCCGGTCGATCCCTCTGCTCCGTCACCTGCCAGCACGTCGCTACCCCACGCGGCACCCTATGCGGCAGCGATCAGCGGTCCCAATCTGGTCACGCCGGCGACGCAGACTCTGATGCCGTTGGCCCACGCGGCATCCTGTCTCTGCCCTTCGGCTCAGGCAAGGATGTGTCGAGGTACTTTGTTCTCTGTGAACAGATTCGCAGAAGAACCGAGTCGCACAAGTGTTGAATGCACCCCTCGTTGTCTGCTTCAATTCCATTCGTCGTATTTATTTTCTGCCACTCGGCTGTTGATCGAAAAAGCACTAGGGCCTGATGTCGGCACCAGGGGATGGCTCCTGTTCTCGCGGCCAGACCAAAATACGGGAAGAAGGGTATGTCTCATAAACTCCGTACGATAACCATGGACAGGACGATTTGCGTTACCGAGCAACATGCTCTGCCGTCATCCAGCCTCGTCAGTCTGTCCTCCGCCTGCTGAACGAGGGTATGCAGCATTCCCAGCATGCGAACTATGCACCACCCAAAAGGCAAAAGAAAAAAAAAGCTAGCCCCGCCCCGAAACACGCTCCGCCTCCCTCTTCAGCCCGGCGTTGAACCGCGCCCAGGGCTCGCTCGGCTTGAAGCTGTGGCGCCACGGCCAGAACGGCACGGCGAGGAGCCCCTCAAAGTCCTCGCGCTGCACAAAGGTCGTGCCGCCGGGGGTCTTGGTGCTCGGCGTGAAGAGGAAGTGGTGCGTGCCCCAGAGGAGGGGCGGGATCGAGCCGACCCAAGTGAAGACGTCCTGCTTGTTGGCCTCGCAGCGCGTCAGCGAGAGGCGGGCAGGGTCGTGGGTGGTGGTGACTTACTTCAATGTGAGGACGAAATGTGAAGCCTTGCATGTTGACGCGGAGGTTGTCTCCCTTTTTCAGGTCGACGGGGCTCTGGCCTGTGGTTGCTGGCTGTATGTCGAAGACATCTTGCCACTGGTTGTAGCGCGCAAAGTCGAGGAACTGGAAGCGTCAGATTATGTAGTCATTTGTGGGCAGCGAAGGAGCGAAGGTGCTCACTATGGACCGAACTGTCTCTGGGGAGGCCTGGATCTCAATCGAGGCGGCTTGTGTAATGGCGACACCCATGGCGACTGGCAGATGTGCAAGGTAGGTGAAGGGCAGGGCTTCCTGTTGTGATGATGCAAAGAGTGTACCATGCTAAGAGTTCACTAGCATACCATCAAGCCATTTATAGCACCGTCGCTATCACACCAATATACCTTCACGCCGCTCAGTCTCGGACTGTCGCCGGCCTCGCGCGATCATCGGCTCAGCGGCGTCGCCCGAAGCGGCGCGAGAAAAGCGCGAGAAAAGCGCGAGCCCCGCTTTTCCGAGCCGAATCCACGCCGGCGAGGGCTGCTGCTCGGGCTGCTGCTCGGGTCACTCTGCTCTCGCTGATGTGCTTGATCTCTATAAGATGCGTGGTGCCGCATGGCATTTGCTTTTGGCCGTCTCATAACGCAGTCTCACTAGCATCAAACACATCCTATCACTCATCACCACCAGCCTCACCACCATCAACATCATTACCATCACCACCACCACCACCATCATCTCTACCATCAGTTAAGCGAATACACTTGACATCCATCAACACATCCTCGACGCTTACCAACACAAAATGTCCAAGACAGTCGCCTTCCTCGGCGCCTCCTCCGGCGTCGGCCTCGCCACCCTCCGCGCAACCCTCGCCGCAGGCCACCGCGCCAACGCCCTTTGCCGCACCCCCGCCAACCTCACAGCCCATCTACCCCTCGACGCGCACCCAAACCTCCGCATCGTCGCCGGCAACGCGCACGACGCCGCCGCCGTAGCGCAAATCCTCCGAAAAGACGCCACGCACCTCGTCGACACAATCATCTTCACCATCGGCGCCCGCATGAAGGGCCTCTCCTTCGAGGACCCCCACGTCTGCGAAAACGGCATCAAGGCCCTGCTCGACGCCCTGACGCGCCTGCGTGCCGACGGCCTCGACGGCCGCCCGCGCATAGTCGTCTGTAGCACCACCGGCATCTCGCGCCACGGCCGCGACGTGCCCCTGCTTATGGTGCCGCTGTATCGCCTGACCCTCGCCGTGCCCCATGTCGACAAGCGGGCCATGGAGGTGCTGCTCGAGGGCAGCGGCGAGGACTTTACTGTGGTGCGGTGCAGCCTATTTGTGGGCGCCGCGTCCGATGCGACGATTCGCGTCGGCGTCGAGGATCCTGTTGCTGGCACCGAGTCGACGGCTATTGGGTACACCATCTCGCGCGATGATGCCGGCAGGTGGTTTGCTGAGAACCTGGTGAAGCAGGACGGCGCTAAGTTCCTCAACAAGATTGCGACCATCACATACTGAGCAGCAGGCAAACAGAGATGGCAGCAGGAAGCAGGTTGCGGTGATTCCCCGATTGGTTCTGTATACACATAGAAGAGCGATGCAATTACTCATTTCCGACATGCAGTTATGCGCTATAACATGGTGCCTTGTGTGCTGACGCCCGCCTCTCATCAGGATTGCGGCACAGATGAGGAGAGGGGAAGAGCATCAAGTCTCGTCACCGCTCCCAAACACCAACAGCATGGTAGCGCAGCAGGAGCATATCCCAGCCCTGCTCTTCAGCTTTAACAACCTGCCATCTCCCGGTGGCTCCTCCGGCCGCCAAGCCCGTTCCGCTCTCCACTCTTCGGCTCGCTGACCGAATCGATCAGCCTCCCGAGCCCAAACATGGCCGACATGTCGACCGCGACGCCTGGTGGCGCTGCAGGCCCCGCGCAGGCCTCGGCGTCGCCGTCCGAGACAAGCACGCGGTCCTCGGCGCCAGCGTCCAAGCTGCGCAGCTGCGTCGTCTGTCGCAGCCGCAAGGTCCGCTGCGACAAGCTGTCGCCGTGCTCCAACTGTCGCCGCGCCGGCATCCCCTGCACCGTGGCCCCGAGCGACCGCCCCCCGCGATGGGCGCGCCGTCTCGAAAAGCTGGCGGCGCGGCCGGCAGCGCCCCAGGCGAGCGAGCCGGCGGCCGGCGCTGTTATGGACCGCCTGCGGACTCTGGAGAAGATGGTCCAAGACCTCGGCGCTGAGCTCGAGCAGGCCAACGCCGCGAAGAGCGGGGATCGTCTCGACGGTGCAGGGGTCGACAGCCAGAGACGTATACCGTCGGTGGCCCCTGGTGCTGGTGTGCAGCCGGGCATGGGACGAATGGTCGGCCAGGAAAAGGGGCGAAGCCAATACGTTGGCAGCAGTTTCTGGACACGCGTCAGCGACGAGGTGCGTATGCTTGCGCTTCATCGACCTTTTGATTCTGGCCCTAACGTCCCCAGCTCGATGCCCTCAAGGCAGACACGCAAGGCCTCGCTGGCGGTGATTCCGACGACTCTGAGGACGACACGGATTCGCCTGGCCAGACGGCCAGCACACGAGAGTCGGAGCGAGGTGCTTCTGAGCGCAACGGGCTTCTGTTCGGCCACAATCTTGGACCATCCGCTCCCGATCTCGGCCAATTCCGCCCGCTGCCGTCGCAGATTCCCTTTCTCGTCGACGTCTTTTCTGAAAATGTCAATTTTTGCATACAAATCGTGCATATGCCGGTCCTCAGGGACATGATCCGCGAGATGCGCGGGAAGAGCTCGGGCGGCATCCCGCCAGCCAACGAAGCCCTCGCTTTTGCCGTCTACTATGCGGCCGTCACCTCCATGAGCGAAGAAGATGTTGGCCCCCCTTCAGTTCGAATCCTCCTCTCTCCGTCCATCAGCTGACACGCGCAGGTCGCTTCGAGCTTTGGCGCCACGAAAGCAGAGCTCAACTACAAGTTCCGGCTCGGCCTCGAGCACGCCCTCGCGCACGCCGACTTTATCCGGCTGCCCACCGTGACCCTCATCCAGGCCTTCGTCATCTTCCTCGCCCTCGCGCGGCGCCACGACAGCCCGCGGTACGTGTGGATGATGACGGGCCTCGCGACGCGCATGGCCGTCGCCGTCGGCCTGCACCGCGACGGCACGCACTTTGCGCACCTGTCGCCGTACGAGGTCGAGATGCGGCGGCGCGTCTGGTGGTGCCTGTGCCTGCTCGACATCCGCGCCGCCGAGGACCAGGGCACCGACCTGTCCATCGCCGACGGCGCCTTCGACACGCGCATGCCCGTCAACGTGGCCGACGCCGACCTGCGGCCCGCCATGCGCGCGCCGCCCGTCGCCCGCGCCCACGACACCGAGGCGTCTTTCGCCGTCGCCTGCTACCGCACGTGCCGCGTCACGCGGCAGATTGTCATGGCGCGCACGCCCGACGGCGCGCCCGACGTCGCGGCGCAGCACCGCCTCCTCGACGCCTTTCCGCGCCGACTTTGAGACCTGGGGCTTCAGGCACCACGTCAAGGACCTCGCGACGCTGGCCTACTGGGTCGGCTCGACGTCGACGCGCCTCGTCATCGCCAAGCTGGCCCTCTTCATCCACCTGCCGACGCTGCTGACGGGCGGCGGCGGCGACGGCGACGCTGACGCTGACGTCAAGGCCGACGCGTCGGAGCGCATCCGCAACGACGTGCT